AGGAGATTGGAGAAATAGCCAAAAAACCAAGTAACTTTGACCTGAAAATCTGCACGAAAATCTTGTTCCATTACCCACCTACCTTTCTGAGCAGGTGGTTTAAAAATAATGAGTAGTTTCCTAAAAAATCTCTACACCAAAATGAAGCCTACTAAATTTTCAGCAAGTGAGGAGAAACTTCGGGCAAGGAAAGGGGAAAAAAAGGGCAGGAGAAAGAGAAATTTTGCTTTCTGCACCTGCCCAAGATTTTCAGGCCGCCATTTTGTGTTTGGATTGAAAGGCCGTCGAGTGTACAAGCTGTGAATGGGTTTGTGGTAAGTTTGAGCTTTTAAAACCACAACAGTGACCTGAAATCTGCTCGACTAGCTTCAAAACGCAGTTTTTCACAAAAGCTGCGGTTATTAATGGGTTAAATTACTACAAGATCTAGTATAAATTTAAGGAATTAGAGTTCAAACTGAAAAAAGGCTCTGTGATTCATACAGAATGAACCAAAGGAACACACACAGTGTCTCCTCATCAAGTACAAAGCATGTAGAATATAAACATGCACATGTACCAGTGCAAGGGGAGGTCAATTTGATAAGCATCAAGTCCACAAAAAATGAATAAATTAAAATTATCATAAATTTAGCTTCATGATTCACAAGAAACACGCAAACCCAACAAGCACCGTTTTACTCAACTGGTGCAATGCACGAAGCCTGTCATTTAAGACACTACCATGATGTTGATGACCAGAAATAGCCATAGCACAAAAAGGAAAATCATGTTCAGGCTGACATTAGGATGTTATATTTTTATCCACAGGGTCCTTGACAATAGTTGAACAGTAAAGATATGATTTTTCATTGACTGAAATGATCATCAAAGGGGCCAACAAGACTGTCTTAACAACCAGTCTGATTCAATGTTCATCTACACTTCCTCAAAAAGACACGGACTGTATAATCCCTTCCACAACTCTCGTATTTTCAAGTTGACTGATATCTCCTAAGAAACAACATTCAAAACAAATAATCCCAATTTTTAATCAAGAATCACTATCATGCAAATTGAGTGTTTATTTTTATCCAACAAACAGACTAAATCTAAATTCATACAATTCAAGACGACAAATGGAAACAAGCATTGAAAAATAATATCTTGTATTTTCAGGTTTCAATTTTTTGCATGCCAGACAATAATTTTATGTAGTAGCTTGAGCTTAGCATATGCTTTGACCTTTATTTAAAGACAACAGAAAACAAAACTGAGGAAGTGTGCCATTTTCTTGGCCATGTAGTTGTATATATAGACAACATACCCCTAGAGACACCAGCCACTCTTTAGCTGGTGTCTTTAGGGGTATTTACTCTTTGGTAAATTCCTTTTTTACACCAGTTGTTTGAAATTTTACTCAAATTCCTGGTAAATTGCCTTGGTTACACTGGTTTCCCTTGACAGCCTATGTACAGTGTACTTCTGAGTCATCTGTATTCTGGATATCCATAATACAAAAATGAGCACAAACAAGCTATTTGAGAACCCAGACGTCTACAATCATAGCGCAGCTTAATCCTGCCACAGTCGTGGGCAACACTTATCCATAGGGTCTCAAAGTAATTTTTTTCATAACATTTTCCTCCCTTTCCTGTATTACATCTAAAATACACCTTAGACTTCCATCAAAAGAAATATTTAGCCAGAATAGTAAAGAAACCTGCAATCAAAGAAAGTCTTCCTGCATAACTTGTACTCAGGGGCAATGTTAACTGGAAACTTTTGGGTTCCTTTTGCATTTTAGAGAAGTTTCTCACCTATTGGGAACCTCCAGCTTTGACTCATTGATCCACATAATGAATGTTGATTCTGTTTCTAGAATAATAAAGGGAGTTTTTTTTTGTGACATTTCAATGATGTGTGTTCAGCTGGCAGTTAAATTACAATTCCCAGATTAAAAGCAACAAATTGAACCAAGACCGTTTAATTACTCAATCCGTGGTAACATGGTTGCAGGAACAAGAATTTGAAAATTACAACGCTTTAGAAGGGCGACTGGGTTAACAAAGTCACAATATATATCTACTACCGATACAAAACCCGGTCAACAAAGCAAACCTGCGTGCGAAATTAACCTTCTTTGTGTTTTTACGTGTTTTGAACAATAAACACTGACGAAGGTAATTATATTTAGTGTATTTTGATGCTAATTCGCCAGTGAAATCCTCTACGTAAAGAGACCGAGAAGTAACAGGTCTTTTGCAAACCGATAGGGTTAAGTGGTAAAAATGGTAAAAATGATAAAAATGCTTGTAAAACTACGTGCTAAAAACAACTATTTAAGGAAATTATTGAGCTTCTTACGGAGATCAAAGTCGATTAATATCATATAACAATGCCACTCAACAACCCGGCCGTACAGCAAGCCGCCTATACATTCTATTGCAACAGACTGAAGATTTTGACTCTGAAAATTTCAGTCTTCTGCTTACAGAAAAACAACGAATTGAACTCTCTTCAATATATTAATTTGGTATGGTGTTACAAATGATCACTTATGCCATGAGCCCACGACAAATCGAGCTAAAAAAAAAACTGAAACAGAAGGCTTTCACAACAACACACGCATGGAAGCTAGTCACAAAATTTTTAACATGCTCTGCCACGTTTAAAACTTTCAGCGAGTTTTCAACTACGTCAAAGTCAAAGGAAACTTTCTTTGTTGCAGGGAACAGCGATACATCGCTACCGGCGTCTAACGTATTTTCCGCAATCCAATTTCTGTGCATCAACGAGCTTTACATGGATATTTTTTTCTAATCAGTGAGTAGAACCCTGTCAGTTTATTTTCTACTGGATGTTCTGTGTATTTCTAAAAGAAGGAAGAACCCCACTTCACGTAGCAACATAAAGCGATTTTCTAAGGCTATTCCCATTCAAACAGTCTATTTACCCGTACAACTTACCGTTCAAATAAGCACTCGATCCCCGCCAAGTGAGTGAAGACAAGCATAGAAAAAGAAGAAAGAGCGAAGCACAAGAAGGACAACACCTTAAAACCATGTTATCTCTGTCTTGAATGAAGAAAAGGATTTCTTGTGATGGGCAGCACGTAAAGTACTCGCTTAAATGTGACTAAGTTGCGCGGTTACCAAGCTACTCGTGAGAATGTTGGCATGTCGGATATTAACGTCAGTATCGTCATTCTGATGAGAAATGAACACGTTTGGATCTGGAAAATGTGGTTTTACAGTGTTAACATCGTCAACACCATTAATCAACTTGATATACATAGATTTAGACCAAATATTTACAACTCCCCTCTTAATTAGAATTTAACAAAATCGAATGATCATCACGAGGGAGTAATTCGTTTTTTCTGTACTTTCCCATTCATGTGTCCAAGGCTACTTTAAACTAGTTTTTCTATAATTTTCTTTAAGAGTCTAAGCTTTTAACTGAAACGATGTAATGTACTCTCGAGAAGCAACTATCATCCCCAATGTCAGGTCCTATCTCCTAGCATCTTCTGAGCAGTTTGGTGTGTGAAACCTGAAACTTTGGTGATATCATCGAACATTAAAAGTAAAAATGCAATTGCTACATTGCTTTTTAAGTCACGAGAGAAAGGGAAAACAGCTCGTGAGTTCTTCCACGAGTCTTACTGACAAAATAGATAAATCCCAACGAGCTGGCACGGACGTCAGTGTTGAAAGGTAACCGCGAGACTAGGTCTCACCAGGTCTAGATTCTTGGCAAATAAGAGTTTAAAGGTTATAATGTAAAGAAACTGATGTAAAAATACTCTGGGGAAACCGCATGATCAGCTGATTGGGAAAATCCACCTCTTCTTGTGTCTTAATAAAGGGTCACACCTCCTTTTAGTGAGTTCTAATACAGGATTACGCCTCGTTTGGGCGAATGCTCATCGTGCGGATTTAAATTGCAGAGCACACACCTGCAGCCATCATTCCAGGCGTCTTCGTTCAAGATTGATCAGAGTATAGAATGCCGTATTTGGAAAGGAAGTTCGTTGCTGTCATATACTAGAGCCGTTTATACCTGAGAAATAATTTCAGTCAAACTTGGTCTAGAATTTTCGTGATTCTAGCCCTAGTTCAGAGAGAGAGAGTGCAGAACAAGAAAAACAAAAAAATAATGAAAGCAAGACCAGAATCCTAACTAAAGAAGTACACTAAAACGAGAGTGGGAGAATCTTTTTCCTGCGTGTCAGCTAAAGTTGCTCTTTCTTTAGAGAAAGATTTTGAATGCACTTTTAATGAGACTTTTGTTCAGTATTCCCTTGGAAATATCGAAGACCTGTGATTTGGTTGTCGACTTTAATCTGCTATTCAGGATGATAAATACTGTTCTTATAACTAGGACAATCATTTAAACTGACAATCATTAAATGTGATCAGAAAATTCCAAGAAGTCGTTTTGTAGCTTAAAACGACTAACGGAAAAAAAAAAAATTACATAAAAGCATTAAAAGGGAAACAAGGTAAACAATTCAAATAAAATACTTCCCAGGATTTCAAACTGGTTTCAGATTTCGTAATCATTCTCACAGACTAGTAAAACAGCCAAAACATAAAAACTAAATTTAAAGATGTCTTATTTCTTTCCTTTCTTCAAGTCTTCAACTGGTGTCAACGGAACCCAGCGACAAATATAGTCGTCGAGAAAAAAAAAACCGATTAGTCATTCAATGAGTGTTTTAAACTACCATGAAAAACCATAAATAAAGTACAATTCAGCAAAGGGATCAACAGATATCGGAATCGCAGATTTTACGCGTCAACCTTACGGTTTAACACCGACCAAAACGCGCGTAGTAACAGCTTATTGGTTTGTTTGTTACCCGTGGGTGATATTGGCATAAAACAAATGTTGCTTATGATCCTGTTCCGCCATAGGCGGGATAGCACTCAAAAGATCCTCATTGAGGGGTACTGCAAGATATTGTGGTTTTATCAATGGAGATTATAATTTACGTTGGTCACCGTAAAGAGTTCCTGAATTTATTTTCCCAGTATTTCTTACAGGTTTCATAGAGCTGTGAACCTGGCGTGAAAAGTTTTCAAAAACACAGAACCAAATACTTAAATCCAACGATGACCAACTGGAATTTTTGTCATTCGCTGCGGCTGTTTAATGTTCATCATTCAGATATCAAGTTTGCGTTTTCGTGTTTTAGTGCTTGCGAAACCTACACCACAGTTTGTTTTCAAAATAGACTAATCAAGGATCTATTCAAATATATTGGAATCTTTAGTGACGTACATTTAACTCAAAAGTTCCTTGCATCGCCGTGAGGTTTCAACTGAATGACGCAGATAACAACTTTGAACGGAAAATGCCGTAAGGCACAATTTTTTCCTTCTTTACAAGAGCTGATTTATTTTAAACTTTGTTTTCTTTTATTTCTTAGATTCGCCGCTTAACACTCTGGAGTGACTTTTGAAGCTCTTTGTTACGAGTGAATGGCCTTTTTGCTCCGGGGCTCAATGAGTGCTACGTGATCAAATTAAATATTCACGGTGTATGCGGGGCGTTAATGTTGATAAAAAAAATAACTGCCTCTCCTAACCATACTTTCATGTACACGTCTCAGATATTAGCAACAACAGAAAAGTAAACCTTCTTTGTCGAAATCCCGTTTTCATTTGAATGTTGTCAAAGTAAATAGCAACGCACGCCTCATTAAAAGTCAAATGATTCAGAGCAATCAATAGGGTCGAAATTTTCTGGCTGACTTCATTTCAGCGATTCTTTTCTTGTCCTCGTCGAATTTCTTTCGCAAATGCGCGATGTCTGTCAAAGAAGAAAAAAAGATTAGCACCGTTGACTACTTTACTGAGGGGGGTGAGGAGGGAGAAGAAGAGAACGATACTGGGGGAGACGGGGAGGGAGGGAAACAGAACAATACTGGGGGAGAAGGGGAGGGAGGGAAACAGAACAATACAGGGGGGTAAGGAACAGGAAGGAAATGATACTGAGGACGGAGAGAGAGGGAGAGAAAGAAAATTATACTGGAGAGGGAGGGGGAGAGGAAAAAATGATACTGGGGACAGAGGTGGGGGTAGAGAAAGAAAATGATATTGTGGATAGGGGGAGGAAGAAAATGATGCTGGGGTAAAGAGGGATGGAGAGGAACAGAACGATTTTGGGGGGGAAGGGAAGGGAGAGGAAGAAAATAATACTGGGGACAGAGGGGGGAAGGAGAGAAGAAAATAATACTGGGGACAGACGGGGAAAGGAGAGAAGAAAATAATACTGAGGAAGGAGGAGGGAAAGAGAGAAAAAAATTATACCGAGGAGGGCGGGGAGAGTGATAGGAATAAAATGATACTGGAGATGCAGGGATAAGGAGAGTTAGGATGGTATTTGACTGGCGGGGAAATAAAACTTTCATACAAAGCCTTTTCAGATATCAGACAAAATAAGGGAACAAGAAGTTCATGAATCCTCCACATATTTACCAATAATTTTTTTCAAATCAAATCCTTGTCTGCAGTCCTACTGAATATTTCACAAAAAGTTAGGGACAAAAGGTCACCTTCTCTGTCCTAAGTTCTTCACAATCCCAATCCTAGTTCATGTACATCCTGGAAGCACACACAGCTAACAAAATAATTGTCCATGTGGCAAAGATAATTCAAGGTACTTACGTTCTCTTCTTGTCTCTCGTTGTTGAAAGTGGTAAAAGTTTAATAGTGCCTGCTGTAAACAAAAAAAAAAAAAAGAGAAAAGAAAGTGGAATGGTGGAAACTTTTTCAATATGAGCAAAATATGCATTTTCTAAAAATTGTAAAATTATCAATAAAGAAATAAAAAGGAAGATGATAAACATTTTAATGGTTGTGGTGAAAGCAAAAAGTAAAAATTCAACAGCATTTCCCCAGAGGATCCAAACTTCAGCCAGGTCTGATTTTGCAAAGAAATGTGTGGGCTTAATATTTCTTAGCTCTAAATTTGATTTTGTTCACCAGTCTAAAAATTACTGACTTAAAAGAGTAATAACATTAAAGTCTAAAAGACTCTCTGGATAAGCTTTTTCTTTAAATATTTTTCATTAGTAGGACCTTACATTTCTATCCCAGAACAGTCCCAGTCCTAACAGGACTTAATCAAAATGATTCCCAAATGGTTTGAATTATCTTATTTGCTTTTTCGTGTAAAGAAAAGATAATGTACCTGGACAAAAGCATAAAAATTAATTTGATACTGTTCTCGACAGCAGTTCCTAAGGCACTGACAAGGAGAATTTGTATAAAAAATGAGAGCTTCTTTAGTTGGTGATCATTTCCTTTATTCTTATGACCTTACTGTTTGATTCAGGGCTGATATTGTAAGGAGAAATTGGATATTAATCATTCTTAGGGGTCAAAGGGTTGATATGCCTTGTTATACAGGTGTTCCTTTCAACTGACAATAACTTTTCAGCTGATTAGTGCACACTGCAAATCAGTATTACCTTCTTTTTCCTCTTTTTTCTTTCCCATAGCTCAGTGGCATCCAGTCTGGGAGCAGCTGGGTTCCTTCCACCTCTCCCTACAGTTACCCAGCCCTCGTCATCAGCTTGGTTACGTGATTCAGCCTCAACTCTTTCACTCTGAGTTAAACAAATTAAGCAGCAGAATTATATCATCAAAGAGGATGTGGTACTTAATTGCTTACTCAGTGGAAAATGCATGTATCCTTAACACGAACCAAATCAAACATCAATTAAAAATAGAAAATGTTGGACAAAGATGTTGCACCTTCTCTTTATCCTCATCAAACTTTGCCATAAATTTATCCACTTCAAGCTGTAACTTTTTTGTATCTGGATATTGCATGTGATATTCTTCAATCCATTCTGAAATGCATTAAATATACAAAATTCACAAACTCTCAGTTTTTGAAATAAAGTAATAAACCAGTACAAGATTACTGATTCATTACATATAATACCAAATAATTATAAGTCTTTGCTGATTCTCCAAAACAAGTGATTTATAATAAAAATCCATCATAACCTGCACCTGGCTTACTGAGATAGAAATGTTCTTCCTACTGATGTCACAGAGTACCTGTAAGTAAACTTAAAAGGGCACAAGTACTAAAAATGTTTCTATCATTTGTTAGCAGCACATACTAGGTGTCAAGCAAGTGAGGACCTACATGACTGTACACCAAGTTCAGGGTTCGACACCTGGCTACCTGTATCACTAGCCACTGGGCTAGTGATTTCTAAAATTTACTAGCCCAAAACACAACTTGGTAGCCCAGATCAATTTCCCTGGAGGTCTACTTCAACCCCAAACACGCAAACCTTCCTCTAAACTTATTGGCAAGATCTTTTAAAATGATAAAGAAAGGTGTTTTTTTCTTCCCTTGTGATAACTTAATGTGCTATTTAAGGAAAAAGCTGAGTAAATTTTCAAGTGCAAGGTGATCGTGCGAACATCGCAACATTGGTAGGGAGAAGACTGGGGAAGAAATTGACCATTAAGCGAAGAGTCTGGGATCTAGCTATGTTTCGGATCGACTCACAAGACAAAAAAGATGCCAGAAGATGAAAGGTTTACTATTAACTTCAAAACATACCTCCTCAACTGTGGGACCCATTTTCGTCCACAGAAACAACATGAGTGACAGCCGATTACGTGACCTAACTAGTTTCCCATTTATCGCGAAGTAAATGCTAAATTAAAATATTATCACACAATAGTAATGAACCTGTCGTGCGATAATAACAAAAATTATTGCTCCATAATAAAAATTATCATGTGATAATAATATTAAGTTATTGTGCGATAATAAAAATCATCACGCGATAATTTATCATTTATTGTACAATAACTTCCTTTTATCGTGCGCTAATTTCCATTTATCGCACAATAATTTCCATTTATCGAGTGATAATTTATCATTTGTTGTGCGATAATCTATGATAAAAAAAATTGTGGCATGTCTCTTATGGGCCACCATACTTATGCGCCACTGTAGGTTTATGCCTTCTTTACTGGTATTATTATTACAATTTAAACTTGTTTTTTTTTTTTTTATCAACTGTGAGCTTCAAGTAAACTAATTATATATAATTTCTTTCAATTTTTCTACTAGCCAGTGGGCTATTAAACGTGGGTTTTTACCAGCTAGACCAAATTTTTACTAGCCCCAGGCTACTAGCAGAGATGTCGAACCCTGAGTTGTTGTGATAAAAGCACTTTTAAGTCTGGACTAAGAGACAAACAGCTTCATGTACAAGAACAAGTTGACCTCTGCCTGCTTGATGATGTTATGAGCTAAAAGTTCTTCCCATATATGGTCCCATTGACTATGCTTACTTTTCATTCCAGTCGGTATTGGACTTTTCTCCGTTGAGAGCACTCTTACTGTAGACTTGTCTAAGTTTAATGCTGCACTCAAAGAAGAAGACTTTTTGAAGACAATGTAACCGACCTTAAAACCCTATACAAAGGAAGTATGATAGAAGGAAATAAGGAAATACATTTGCTAAATAAGATACATATCTGGCAATTCAAATAGAAAAATAAATTAGACATTAATAAAATTGGAGTAGGTTGATACGCTTAAGATTATTCTGTTCTCAAACCAAGTGGCTTTGTGATCTAATCAGAGCTTATCTCTGTTTCCATAGCATGAAGTAACTAGCAGGGTTATTCTCCCGATGGGTTGCCAGTCCTTTGAACAGTCCTTTCCACCCCCCTGCCCTCCCAAAATTTTACCCAGTTCCCACTTAGTCTCCTAAATGATGAGGAGGCATAATGAAAATAGTAGTGCAAGGGCCATTTATTTAAACAAGGTCTAACCCAACCTGCCATTACACCCAAGCAAAGAGTCTCAGGTACTCTCTTTTAGAAGGTTGATTTAATAATAAAAGTCCTTCCACTGATAGCTTTCTGCCCTCTTGACACTGTTCATATAAGTATACGTTCAGATAGAGGGTTCAGCTGAAATGAAGGTAGTTTAGAATACAGTTTTGTAAAACAATGGGCAAACCCTGTTTAAATAACTGGCCCCAGGTGTTTTGCCCAAGAACACCACATAATGAAATGATCAGGTCTTAAACCCAGACTCCTGCATGATAACCAATAAGTCACTACATCTTCCACAGAAAACTAGAGTGAATTTATTTTGCCATTCTTCCAAGATGACAAATCCAATATTGCCTGGCTGACCCTTGATTCAACACACCTAACCACAACTCTTGCATCTAAACCAGTCTACAGAGAATGGCAGAATTATTTTGACAAGAACCTATGTAGACCAAGCCATTCATAGCCACATGACCCCAATGCACTAAAAGCAGAACTCAAACTATCGCTCCTTAGTTTTACAACTGCTTAGTGTCGTTTTAAAGCTGCTGATTGACAATCAAAATCAATGGTGACTCTGGCATGCACATAGGCTCTTCAAAAAACAAACAAACAAACAAACAAACACCCATCATGCACCTACCAAAAATTAATCATTTCTTCAGACTGTACATAATACAGCTTTTGGATAAAAGAAAATAAAGCAAAAAACAAGAGATTTATCTTGCGACTAAAGCTTAAGTTCAGAGAAGTGTGGAATTAAACAGAATTCTGTACCCAGAGAGGGCATGTTAAAAGAAGCCACGAGTAACTGCTACAGTGTCACGTGAAACAAATTATACCTTGACACTTTCTGACGGGATGACTAAGCCTGCCTCATCCTTCTCCGTCGACCCCGGTTGTTTGACGAGAAATACGTCTTTTACGGCGCCACAACTACTGAACAGTCTTTTCAAGGAACCCTAAAGAAGAAGATTTTCTGTAACACTGTAAAAGCTTAAAAGCTACACAACAAAGAAAGGAAAACGAGGTACAAATCCAACACATCTCATGTCACCTTTGTGCAATATGGGGGAATGTTCACCACAAAGAGTGTCTTATTTGGTGGTTTCGTTGTATCTCCATCTCTTGTTATGTGATTCTTGAAATACAGGTAGTGATACGAACAACTTTTTTCGCTGAACTTAACGCAAATCGTTTGAAACCCACCAAGTTGGGACGCCATATTGTCGTGGGCCGAGTAACCGTGCAATCCACTGAACATGCGTGGTACCCAATCTAGAGGCCGTCATGGCGGAAACTCTGGAGGATTTGATTGGTACTGCATTAAACCTTTTAAATGCATTTCCTTTTGTGTATTTGTTGAATTGAAATCCAAAATTAACTTTTTCACAGATAAAGCCACTGATCCTTCTCAAACTAAGGACGGCGTGGACTACTCGACACCAGTATGCGACAGAATAAATCTAGACCTCGATGGGTGAGATTTATGATACAATTTTGCTTTGTGCCGTTATTTATTTCGTTAGAACTTAAAAATTATTTTGATTTACAGTCTGAGCTCATCATTGTCATTATTTTTTCTCTAGACCAACAATTGGGATCCGTTACATAGTGACAAAGGTCAAAAGCGCAAGGGAAGACGAGGCTCTTTTAGGACTGGATGTAAGTTTGGTGCTTCATGTACAATCTTGATCATCTACTTGTATGAACCGCCCTAATCACCTCATAGAAGTAGAAATTTGTGATCCAAACATCTTAGTTAGCGCTGACGTTTCTTAAACACCAGAAGGCAGTTGTTTTTGTCCAAAATAATTTATTTGCATTTCACCGAATTGAAGTATACTGCATTTGTAGTTCCTCTTTCCTCCATAAAAACACTTCCTGGGGATGATTCCTACACCTTCTTGCACTTTCTTCAGGTTGACATAATGAGTGAATAGTATTTAAGAGATGTAACTTTACACTTTCTCTTGCTGGGTTGAATTCACAAAATATAGTACTATTCTATGCATTCTATTCTTCTTGTATGAAGAGCAAAACTGGTATGAAGAGGGGACTGGTAAGGGGTGACAGGTACTAGTGCACAGGTGGAAAGTAAACAAGAGGTTAAAAAATGATTTATTCTGCTATGTGTATCAGAATAATTTGAATATATCAACAAAGTT